AGTGTACATTTATATTAGTTTTTTTTTTAACACTTTTGAAAAAGTCAATAGATAAAACAAACAGAAATGCACCAAGTCTGACATTTAATAAGGCAAATGACCTGGCACCTAACTTAGTAAATTCAACATTTCTAATCAAACTTTGCTGTCATTTCTTTTAACTGACAGAAGCCAATATTGGCTGTAAGAGAAGTTCAATTGATTTCCCTGCAAACTTTTCTCCTTATCTTATTGCTTAGAAACAAAGGTTTGACAGACTGGCATAACAAGGCTACAATAAAGACTGAGGTCTCTGAGCTCCGTTAGGCCCATTCCTTGCTATTTTATCATATACCACCTGCACGGTCTTCACTGGGTTTGTTTAGTTAGCAACAGAGAAAAACAATATTGATCTTTAAGGTAAATGAATGAAACATAGCCAGAGAATACACAATTATGCATCAAGTTGATTTTATAAGTTATATAAGTAGCATAATGCCTGTAGATCCAGGATTTATTATACCCCACTTGAAAAGAGAGAGGGTATATAGTGATCAGGATGTCTGTCTGTATGTCTGCCTCTCTGTCTTTCCATCCGTTTGTCTGTATGTCTGCCTGTTACGCTTTGGGGTGCACATCTTTTATCTGCAACTCCTCTTTTACCACTAAATGAAATTTAATGAGACTTTCATAGAATCTTTGTTATAGAGTGCTTATGTGCACTTTCTACTTTACTTATTGATCAGACCTGTATTTTGGATTTCCAAGAGCAAAACATGGGCACTGTCATTTTTTCTATAATATAGAAGGGTGCCTATTACTATCTCTTATCCCCAACTCCCCCTCTACCACTGAATAAAATTTAATATGATACTTTCACATATTCTTTATTACATAATGCAATTGTGCACCTCCTATTTTACTTTTTGATCTGACACTTTTTTCAGGTCTCCAAGTGCAAAATATGGACTTTGCCATTACAACCCAATATGGGAGGCGGGGTCAATGTAAAATTCAAGGTGCAATTAATTGGACAATGATCAGAATTTTCTAAATTCCTTTGGTGGATCGTTTTAACTTGGTAACACCTTCAAAATTCTACCATGATTAAAAATATTAGACCCTTCATTTATTACTTACTAAATATGGTCGTTATACATTGAATACCTTAACCTAACATTTCAAGATGCAATGAATTTATCCCCATACCCACAATGTGCAGCTGCTGCTGGCATATTTTTTTTTGGTTGAAGTAGGGCAATAGAGAGTAATCCAACACACTATGTTACATAATTCTTTCTCGATAATAAGAGGTTGAATGTGTCCTTGAACATTGATTTGATACCGTGTTGCCTCTTTTGTTTTCCAATGAATAATATATGTTTAAACATTACCTTTGTTGCAAATAAGTACATATACATTAAAAATTAAAGGTTGTCTTATCAAAGATTATACTACCCATGACCTCCTTATAAACTTGTAAACGATGTATTTTTAAAAAGATTAATTAGTTCATTACATCAGATTAAGTATTAACGTACGTGAATAATGTACTATTCTTCAAAATTTCCTAGGCAATTAATTAGACTTTTTGCTTTGTACCCTATATCTTAAGTAAAATAATATTTTAAATGTACAAGTGATCAACTTTGATTGTTATCTCAAACTTGATGGGGCAGGGAAAAACTTTGGAATAATAGCTCAATATTTGCACAGGAGTCTGAAGTTTTCATCAATAAAAAAAAATATGGGGAAAAAAATTCCCACCCTCAAAAAAAAAACATTATTTGAGGTTGGGATTGTTTTCCGGATTTTTTTTATATATTTTTTCTGACAATAAAAACTTCAGACTCCTGTGGTATTTGAGACACTGAGATGAGGTCCATGGGCTATAATGCTCATCTGGTAGAAACTTTAAAGATTTCCTGTATATATCTTTATTTCTGATTGAAAAATTGACAGCTCCTATCTTTTAAAACAAAGATGATTTAAAGGTACCCATACTCTGATAAAATTGCTGATTCAAAATATTTAAAATTTTATAATCACATAAAATTTTGAACCTATTTAATGTCAATTCCAATTTTGAGAGTTACAGGTCTCTTCTTACTGATTCTAAATTTTGAAGTAATTAAAATGCATTATAACCAGTATCAGAAGAAATTTAAGAATCTTATATTTTAGTTTTGCAAAAAATAAATAAAAAATTGACCAATTAAGTAGCAAAAATTCAAAATTCAATACAGGTATAAGAGAAAAATACTGTTACTGCATTCATGGAGCATTTATATTTTATTTAAAGCAAGCTAGAACATTTCCCTTTTCTCTCCCAGTGTGTGTTAATTAGGTTTTATAATTGTAGAAAATTTAGAAAATTAAAATTGATAATTTATCATAATTCTTAACTAACTCAAGTTTAAAATTTGTAAGCCACTCTGTGTGTATGGTGTGACCAACCTTTAATTGGTACAATGTTGTTTATTCTACGTACTGTATACGTTGGTTATACAACAAAATTAATACAGGTATAAACTGAATAGTATAAATTGCATGTATAGAAGTGAATATCCTAATTATTGCAAACATCTGCTTATACAACATTTTCTCCCACATGCATGACAAGCATAATATCCTGAGGGAAAATTATTAACGGAATATTAGTACGTTTTCAAACCAATGACAGTCAGACTTTTTCCCAAGCACATCATAATTATTTATTTAATCTTTTATCTAGGTTTTGTAGAAAAGGGCTTATTATAAAATAATTTTGAAAAATAGTATAATACACATACAGTAAAACATGCTTATAGCGAACATGGTTATAACAAACTGACCCTTACAGTGAAGTGATTTTTATTCCCCACTTAAAAGTATATTGTAAACTTAATTAGTATAACAAATTCTGCTTTAGGCAAAATCCTCCATCCTTAGAACTTCTTTATAAGTTATCTTAATTTATATCAATGAGGCCAAATAAAATTGAATTTAAGGTTCTTAGGCCCAGTCGGAAGGGTTTTGAGGTGCATTTCAAATTTTATCATATATTTTTTATGAAAAAAAAGGTTGGTAATGCAGAGATCAATCCAGAGAAAAAAAGTTCTTCCCTCAATTTCTTTTAGTTTACCTTTAATAGTCCAATATCACTTCTGGTAGCCATTTTCAAAGAGACTAGGCTTCTTGATTAAAAAATACATTAAGATATTGCCTACATTGTGCAAACATTGATAAGCAACACAAACCTATCAATCAGACATGGAAAGTATACCTAAGAACAAAGAATTTTTATCAATGTTTTATAGAAAATTCGGAAATTTGAAAAATACCTCCCTCAACTACTTTATTGCCACTAAATGATTAAAAACAGTCTCCCTTTTGCATCTGTTTTGGAAAAAAATGGCCTGAGAACCAGAAAATAAAATTTATTTAGCCTAATGGGTTTTTTTTTTGGGTGGAATTCAATATATTAAAGAATTGATATTATAAAAGCAGTAAGACTTAGGTTTTCCATCAGTTATACATACACATGTATGTGTGGGTCTAACCCCGTCCCCCCAATTCTTATGATTTAAAAAAAAAATTCAAAGGACTTAGGTTTTTAATAAATTTATATTTATAGTAATTTTGTTGCTTTTTCTAAAGAAAAGTTTTCTTTTAATACTGTTATACATGTATATTACAAGTTTTTCTTCTAAATATGCTTTAAAATAGCAACTGCAATAGCAATGTTTCAATCTAACTAAAATTAGCTGTAAGATCCGCTCGCACACTCTCTACACTGTAGGCAGTAATCAAGCGGATCTAACATTTCATTTTAATTAGATTACACGTTTTCAATTTCTTCCTTGAAATTTGACTCAATGCAATCATATATAATATTTGAGGTTCGCAGTGTGATGGCAACCACTCTGCATTTTGCATTGAAAATTATGAATATTTTATAGTTGACAGTCTTTTTATGCCTTTTGCTAAATCCACTGGACAATTTAGGTCACTGTGTGTCCTGTAGGACTGCATGTCTTGGTTTTTACACAGAACTAAATCTGTTTATATCTTGGTGTACATTATAGTTTTTTAGATAGATCGTACTATTTTACACTCCATTGTACTTTTTTGTTTTAAGAAAAAAAATAGCACACAAATCCGAGTACATAAATAGGTGTGATTAAAAATGCATGGATCATGATAATTAAGATTTCCTTGACAAATCACTACAAGACAGTGTGTGAGTTTGACAAAATTTGATTCAGTCCTATGTGTAACTCTTGAGTACTGTGATTGAACCTAATGTCCTGTGAGAACCCAAAACTCTCTTCAATCAGATAAAACTATCAAATATAAAATGATTTTAAAATTACAACGAAATTGTCTATGTCTGGGTTATGATATAATCGCGACAATATATTGTAATTATAATATTGGTCAACCAATATATGTATGTATATAACTTAATTTCAAAATGATTTGTATTAATACAGAAACTTTAAACCCCTCTTCTCTACCTTTGCAATTGGTTAATCGTGAATCAATGATAACTACAATCTTAAATATCAATTATCTTAATTCATTAGCCTAATGATTAGGCCTACATTAAGAAGCCTATAATGAATTTGCTATTTATATCCTTGGATCATGTCATTGTTATTAAATTCGGACAATAAATTACCTGGTTATACACAAACTAACGTTTTCATAATATCCTGCCATAAATAATACATCACTTATGATGCATGAATCTCTATCTATTGAACCATTTGATTTCACAGATGTTTCAATTTAAATATTTAAGTGTTTTTATTAGAAATATTAAGTAACCCAACCAACTGCCCGAGGATAGAAACAATTGAAAAACATCTCATTTACTTCATAACAACATACCGACCTGCACTCAGTGTATATTTCTTTAAAAACATTGTTCCCCATAGTGCATATTTTCTTTCCCTTCGTTCGTTAGCACGGAGTTATTTTTTTATATAATCTTTATATGCATTTTACAATAAGAAATATCTTGTATTCATACTTACCAACATTGGTTACTGATAAAAAGACAACGTATAAGATGACTTACGATACTAATCCATTTGGCAAACACTGAAACAGGTAAATAAATGTAAGAAAATTCGGGATTTAGCTCGCGAGGATTATTGACGTCACCATTAGCAACTCTACATGGGATAAGTGTAAAAGTAGTCACAAAGAGCCAAGTAAAAACAGTCAGAAATAGACTTTTAAAATCCGGAATGACGAATAATTATTTGTCGCGCAAGTTACACCGTACAAAAGAGCTATTTAGATACTTAATATGCAGTTTTAGCTACAACTCATATTAATCATTACGTTCAAATCATATATTGATAAAGAAATTAGCGATATCACGGCATTTGCATTTAAACATGCTCTTAGCACGCTTCTCGACAGTCATTTGATTCTGAAAGATTTTGAGGGAAAAAAATATGTTCTCAAAAATGGCAAGAAAATAAAGATACACCCGTATGGCATGTCAAACATTGCAATATTCGATTTTTTCCATATGTATTGTATAATTTTTTCAGTTTTAGGCCAATTTTTAAAAATAATTTTTCAGCATTAGATCAAGCAAGAGGTTAAGATTCACATACTTTTGAGGACCAACATTTTTTTAATTTCTTCTTTTCAACTAAACAAGACCACTTCCGTGAAATTTAAATATGTACCCTATTCTGAAACAAATCTTTTTATCCATCTCTTGAACAAAAAAAAAATATCGAATTGAAAAATGTTATTCAAACAAGAAAGTAGATGTTCACGGTAACAGAAACCAATTTTTAAATTTGATTCTCTGTATATTATGACAGTTATATATAGTTACTGTCCACAGTATATTGATTTTTGTTGTTTTTTAACTACTATAGTATTAATGCATATCTTGATATTGCAAATTTGCAGCTGGCGCTATTACGTATTCTGTTATTTATTATTTTTCCCTATGATCTCAGTCTTGGTGACAATTGATCAAGATAATCTTCCTGGTTTTCTGCTGAAGCAGTATTTGGTTTCACTACTGTGATGTGAGAGGCCTGTTCTGCTAATAGCCGTATCATCCATTCAATAGATTTTTTTTGTCTGCACAGCTTTAAGCTAGGCCTCCTATGATGGGCTCTTATACAGTGCATACTAGTACAGTATTAAGTTTACAACCTTCTTGGGATTTCTGAATAAGTATTTTATGGAACTTCACACTCTATTGTTGTTCAGACTTTCTATTTTTCTCTTCATTTCTGTAGTACAGTGTAGATTCATTTTTATATCCCCGAACCAAAAAAGAGGGGGATAAACTGTTTTATAAATTCTTGTGTGTTTGCCTGTCTGTCTGTCCGTCCGTCCATCTATAGCTGTCCGTAACAAATTTTGTCAGTTTTCTAAGAAGCTACGCTTATCAGATGATTGGAATTTTAGTTCACTCTTTGTTATGACATGCATGTAATATGGTGGGACATCTCATGTCAACATCCTGTTTATCCGTGCGTCTGTCTTATCAAATTTCCGTTTTGAACAGTTTTCTTAGCCACCTCATCGCAGATGCTTGAATTTTTAGCAAACTTTTTCTTAAGGCATGCCATATGGTAGGATTCATTTTTGTACAAATCAACGGACATTGGAAGTTAATGCAAATATTTAGTATATTCATATACATGTATTTAACAAATCCGATGTCAACTTCCTCTTTATCCGTGCATCTTTCCGTATCAAATGTCCGTCGGTTTTCTCACCAACTAGTCTACGAATCGCAGATGCTTGTTAATGCAAACCATATGGTGGGATTCATTTTCAACATCAACTTCCTGTTTATCCTTGCGTCTGTCCGTACCAATATTTCTGTAACCGAACTATAGTGCGTATATTCACAAGAGTGGGGCATTCGCTCATATTATTTTTTTTTTTAAAGGGCTTTACAAGTTTCCATACTAATCTTTCCAGCTTGGACCTCAATCTATTTCAAAGAACAAAATTGTTCAGGAAAAACAAACAAAACCAAAAAGGGGGAGTATGAGGGTTACTGACCTGCTACAACAGTAGAACCCCACCTTCTCGATTTCTTGTAAAAAAAATCTATTACTCTGACTATGTTTTGAATATATTTAATAAACAACAAAGTTACTATCATAATATTCAATTAGGAATTTTACAAAAAATAAAATAATTCTCAAGACATCATGCCTATGGCATACACAAAACTAATACAGGACTGCACCATGTCAACAATCTAAACTTTTGTACAAGCTATATATATACAGCAATACATGTAGTTAAATGCATGATTTAATTTCCATACTTGGAAGAGTCTGAATAAAATGTTGCTTTTCCTTTTTACATACAGTTTAAACTGAATCATTTCAAAGTTCCATAAAATACTTCATTCATATGGAATGTCCAATCTATACATCTTTGTTTTTAAAACATGAATAATTATACATATTTATATAATTAAAAAAAAATATATACTCCACCCTGTCTTTGATGCTCTACTGGTTAAGATCAAAGCAGACTTAGTATTTCTGCATGTCTAAACGTTTTGAATTATCAGCTAAAAATTCAACAACAAATATCTACAACTTTACCATTACATGGGTTATTCTGGTGAAACCATTCTCCTAAGAACACCAGAAATGTTTTTTTTTTCTCCTTGGTTGCTGTGTACTAGTAATTTATAGGTTTTTTTTATAAGCAACCTTCCTATCCAAGAACATTAAGAAAATTGATATAAAGAATCAACAGTTAATTTTTCATGAACAATGAAGTATAAATACATTTTTTCTTTACAACGTGAAAGGCAGACAAAGAATAAATTATATACATAGCAAAATTGGCAAGAGAAACTGACATTTTGATTAATTTTCAGTTCATCAGAAATGTTCATGACAAATTGTTTTTTTAATTCTAACAAAAGTTTTTACTAGTGGCAGCTAACATAAAAATGTAAACTTCTACCCAAATTACCTACTAATATCAATAAAGAGTTTCCGAAATTAATGAAAAGCATAATGTCAAAAATATTGGTTGTGCTAGTGGTAAACTAGATAGAATGTTCTATCGTTAAAATGATATTGTCCTACGGACCCGGTTTAACGATAGAATGCGTTCCGTGTATTCGTAATGTAGCAAAAGAAACACGGGCGATAACTCGCATAGTGCATTTACTAGGAACAATCTAGAGAGTTCCGAATGTAAACATGGAGGTAATTTGAATCGAGAGAAAAACGTTGAGAAAATGAATTGGATTTTCGTATTTATATGGATTATTTTTTGGGATAAAAGGCATAAGCAATCTCAAAAAGGTTTGTTTTAATTATTTTGGTAGTTATTCCCAGTGCAAATCATTTTCTATTCTTCAAAATCGTTTCGGAGCGGATCCGCTCTGATTTGCTACATTGCAAGTATATGGGACGTATTCTAACTGTGGTGAGGGCTTGTACCAAGACACAGTTAGATTATTCTAACTAGTGGTAAACTGACATTGAAAAAATTATAAAATCTAATCTTAACGTTTGGAAAGAAATATATACTGGTACTTCAATCTTCTTTTATATTTTTGTTATAATTTAATTAGAATAACAGAATATACATCTATCAAGAAAATTTCTTGAATAAAATCAAATTTACCCTATATTTCACAATGAAGAGAGATTTCATTATTATCATAACTATAAAAAGTTCATAGCATTAATTAAATGCATTTTCACCAATATGAAATGTACAGTAATTTAAAGTCTTGTAAATATCACAACGATGATGGTTAGAATTCAAAAGCAGAGATTTACAATTTTTTACGACTACAATATGAACACATCATTTTCATGCCTTCATTATATGAAATGAACTGGAAGTTTCAGGTGGTTCATTAACAACACCTGAGATACCAGTAAAATCATCAGCTGATTCATCACCTTCATCAAAATCTTCATCAGCTGGGCTATCCATCGTCTCATCCGATTCATCCGTATTGGATGAAAGCAAATCCTTATCATTCATATCCATCTGAATTCCTGGATGGATTGCCTTCAAATGCCGTTTCAAGCTAGATTTTTGGTTGAAAGCTTTACTGCAGATCATACATTTAAATGGCAGATTACCTGTGTGGATTCTCATATGTTGCCACAATCTGGATTCCTCTGTAAAAGATTTGTCACAGGAATCACATTTGAATTTGAAACGATTGTCATGCTTGTGAATTTTCTGGTGACTTTTGTAGTTTTTGGGATCCGTGAATGTCTTGTCGCAGATTTCACACTTGAACGGCCTTTCGCCCGTATGGTGACGAAGATGGATCTTCAAACTCTCGTTGTGGTTAAATGCCTTCTCACACAGCGTACACTTGTAAGGTTTTTCTCCCGTATGAATCCGAACATGCCTCTTCAAACTCGACCTCTCATTGAACGTTTTTTCACAAATGTCACATTTGTATGGCCGTATGTCAGTATGGATGCGAACATGAATCTTTAAATGGTGTAATTCTTTAAAAGCTTTTTCACAGACCTCACATTTGTATGGTCTTTCGTCGGTGTGAATCCGCATGTGGTTCTTCAGGGTCTGCTGCCGGATAAACGCTTTCTTGCACACTCCACAAGTGTAAGGTTTTACATCCGAATGAATCCTGACATGGGTTCTCAGGTTGTGTGGTTCATTAAATGTTTTCCCACACACATCGCAGATGTATATGTAGGGCCTCTCTTTGGCATGAATCCGACTATGTCTCTTGAGGCTGGAGCTCTCATTAAATGCTCTCCCACAGACCTCACATTTATAAGGCCTGACATTGGTGTGGATTCTGGCGTGAGTCTTCAAATGGTGAGGTAGGTTGAAGGTCTTTTCACAGACATCACATTTATACGGTCTTTCTCCTGTGTGAACACTGATATGCCTCTTCAGAAGTAGAGTACTGCTGAAGGCCTTATCACAATAATCACACTGAAGGGGGTTCTCAATTTCTGTCTTTATCATTTCAGAGCCTTCACCCACTGTGGACTGAGTAGAATATGCACCAATCTTTTGACTCTCTGGAATGTTTTGATCATTTGTCAGTGACCCACCTTCTTGCCCAGTAGATTTATCCTTCAAAGTGCTATAGATGTAAGATTCTATAAAATTCTGCTGAAATGGGGTGGTCTCAAATGTCTTTCCAT